CTGCCGGCAAGGGTTAACCCCCGCGGGGTTCCCTCCACCAGGGCCCGCCGTAGGCCGTAGGCCAGAGGGTTCGCCCGTAGGGCCGTGGGGGGCCCAGACAGGGGAGGAGGAGGAGTTCGGGGAGAGGAGGAGGAGGAGGAGGAGGCGGAGGAGGAGGAGGAGGAGGAGGAGGAGGGCCGGAAGAGACGTTCCCCGGTTGCCCCCGGTGATCGTGCGTATTATTTTGTGTTGTTGTTGCGTTTTGGCCGATTGCATTTTAACAAAATAGAAGCTTACACAAAACACATGCAACATAATTCAAGACAGTTACATCTAATAACAAATCATGCGCGCGCTCTGGGGCCCGGAGATCGCGCGCATTTTTCGCATCTGCCCTGGCGGGCCCCGGAAATCGCGCGCGTCTTGCAGCTTCTGCCCCGGCGGCCCCCGGGGGTGCGCCCTGGAGTCCGCGGCCCCCGGGGCCCAGGCGAAGGAGACCCGGGGAGGACCGAGGATCGAGGAGCGAGAGTTTGAGGCAGCCCTCTGGCTTTTGGCCCATCTGGCTCACGTTCTGACCAAAATGTCGATGCGAACCCAGCCTTGCGATGTCGATGTGGCCAGGCCTCTAGGGCGTCGTCGCTTGGGGGTTGTCGGGGTTCGAGCACCCTGTCAGGGTCCAGGGCCCTGCCCATTCTCCCTCCTCTGCTTCGTCCCCCCATCCTCTACAGTTCCATATAAAATAAGTATTACCGTTCTCTCTCCCCCGAGCCTGCGCGGCAAGTGTCCCCAGGCAGCAGGGCGCCATGCGAGCTGATCGGCGAGAGTCGGAGGCGCTTTGCGCCACGCATTCACGCCTCCGCCGGGGGCTTGGACTCATGTTCAGCGTTGCTTACGTTAATCTTGTATGGAACATATATATATATATATATATATATAGATAGTGACTTTGCTGTTGTTGTGTATTTTCTTTTAAGCTTATTCCGTGCATGTTTCTGGCCAAGCGAATTTCGTCTTGCGTAATTAGCTCTCGGAGCAAACCGCCTATCGCAACCCCAGACAACCCAAGTGTGGCCCAAGAGCGCCGCAACAGGGCGCCCAGAGGGGTCCCGAGTCGGCCCGGGCCCGCCTTGGAACAGGCCACGACAGGCTGATGGGGGCCCCAAGGGGGCCCAAGACGCTCCCAAGAGCCCAAGATGCCCTTGAGACGGCCGACGATGACTCCAACACGCTCCAGGACGATCTCAAGAGGCTCACCGAGAGGGCCGTGGGAGGCTGAATTCATTCATTTCCCATTGGTTTGGGAAAGAGTTTGGCGTTCTCGCTTTCCGCTTCCCAGCGCTCCCCCACGGCCTCGGAGGGCCCTTCAGATCGCTCCAAGACGGCCCACGAGGCCCCGAAGAGGGCCCCAAGACGCGAGACAACCCATGTGCAAAAAAAACTCAAGGAGGGGCCCAGAGGGGGACCGCCAACCGATATTTCGAGGTCTCTGGCCCTAGAGGCCCCCAGTAGGCTCCCAGAGGCCACCAAGAGGCTCCAAGGAGCCCCGTGAGGCGCCCAAGAGGCCCCTGGGAAGCCTAAGGGTTCCCATTGGATTCCCAGGGGACGCCCAAGATGCCCCCCAACACACCTCAAGAAATCATGTCCCCAGAAAGCCTTCCGGGGACATGGTTCATCATGGGCCCGAGAGGTCCCGGAGGCCCCCAGAGAATGCCAAAGATGCCCCCCAAACACTCCCTAACAAATGATGTCCCCAGAAAGCCTTCCGAGGACATGGTTCATCATGGGCCCGAGAGTCTCCGGAGGCTCCGAAGTACCATCGCGCTATCGGAGAGTTGTCTGGGAAGTTGATTGGGAACATGACTGATTTCCTTCTCGCGTCCCCCCGCAGATCGTTTCGCACAAAGTTGCCCTAAGTGCCCTCTTGAACCGACGACGAAGACGACGAAACGACGAAGACGAGGACGACGGCGACGACGACGACGGCGGCGCCCCAAGAGGCGACGACGACATTACGACGACGACGACGACGGCACACCCCAACAGGCTCCCCAAGACGTCCCCCAAACCCATTTTCCAGAAGGCCTTCTGGGAACCCGATTCATCCGGCCTCCGCCCCCCTACGCAACCGTCTTCCCCGCTCCCAAGGCGCTCCACGAAGGCTTCCAGATGGCTCAGACCGCCCCCCAGACGCTCCAAGAAGGTTCCCAGACGGCCGCCAAGAAGGCGCCAAGAGGTACAATTCATTCGTTTCCTTATGGTTGAACGTTTTTTGGAGCTCCCGCCTTTTCAACTTAGAAGGTAGACAGCAACCACGAAGAAGGAGCGAGAACTCAAGACCTATCCGAGCCTCCAGACCGTAAGAGAGGACCCACGCCGTCGTCGTGGTCGTCGTCGCCGTCGTCGACGTCGTCGTCGCCGCCGCCGTCGTCGTCGTCGTCGTCGTTGTTGTCGTCGTCGTCGTCGCCGTGGGCCGCGGAGGTTCCGCAACTCTCGCCGAGAGGGAAAGGGGTCCCCGGGAGAGGGGTCCGTTTCGACGTTTCCCGCCTCCCCGAGCCCTCCCGCAGGGGCAGAAGCCGAAAGACCTCGAACCTTGACTTTCGAACTTCGTCCCCCCCCCCCCTTCCCCCCCCTCGAGGCGTGCATCGGCTTCTGATCGAGGGCGGGGAGGAGGATATTGGGGGGGAGGAGGAAGAGCAGGCGGAGGACGGGAAAGATGAGGAGAAAAAGGGGTAGGGAGAGGGAGGGGGCTGAAAGAGGAGAGAGGAGTAGATCGCGGCGGAATAAGAGGGAAGGGGAAGAGGAGGAGGATGAGGAGGAGGAGGAGGCGAGAGAGAGAGAGAGAGAGGAGCAGAGAGTAGGATAGAGGAAAAGGGAGGATGCTTCCACGAGGGCCCACGTAGACCCCCCCTAGGCCCCACGAGACATCCATGACGCCGGATCAGGGACACAGCGGGAGCAGGAGAGGAGGAGGGCAGAGGGAACAAAGGAGGAGGCTCAGGAGGTGAAGACCACAAAGGAGCAAGGAGGGAGCAGGTAGAGGGGATCGGGAGAACCACGGAGAAAAGAGAGAAGGAATTGGAGAAAGAGGAGGAGGAGGAGGACCACAGCAACGGCGAGGACAAGAGAGGGACGAGGACAGGAGTTGGCCGAGGCGGAAGGAGGCTCAGCAAAACCCACATGCGGGAAGATTCGCAGTGTCGTGCATGACACGACCGAAAAAGACCTAGCTGTGACTAGAACCTAGGCGTGCGCGTAGCGCGCGTGTTTCTAGTATGCAGTTTTGACGTTTGCATATTGTACATATATATATATGTATAGATGTATGCATATACAGATATTGGTGTGTTTATATGTGGGCCTGGAGGGGAAATGCATGTCCATATCCACTGCCTGCCGATGTACACGGAGATGCTCCCCCAGGCGACGATGATGGATGATTCCCCGCCTCGCAGATTTGATTGAGCGCATCCGAAGGCCTCGTCATCCTGCGTTCGTCTCTGTTCGGGAGCCGCAACCAATGCAGCCGGCCTCGACTCCTCAAAGCGCCCCGAGGCACTTGGATCACCATCCCTGCTAGCACATCGAGTAGGGGATCGATTACAACATCGATTCGGCTCAACTTTGATTTCTTCGTCGAATTTATAATTTCTGTTTAGCCTCGACAGGGAATCAACTCTGGGTTGAAAGCAATTCTGTAGTGGATCCTCTACCCGAACATAGATCTCCAACTGCAGAGATCTCGCAGGGGCCTCTGGAGGCTCCTGGTGGCCCTCGAGAGCTCTCCTTGTTCCCCTCCTCCTCGTGGTTCTCGCCAGGACAGCATCGGTCCACACTACCTCATCATGGACAGCTCCTCCTTGTCGCACACCCAGGCGTGTTGGTAGGGCGAGCCGGCCGTTACGCCTCAGAGTTCTGCGCCACTTCTGAGAGTGGTGCCAGCCAGTTGCAGCAGCTTCGAGGATGGAAGGGGTGTCGGTTCCAAGATGGCATGACGGGCTTCTCGCTTGAACGCCGCGTGCAGTCGTCTCACAAGTGCGCACACGCTTCAAGGACGGAGGGTTGACATTCGCAACATGAGGCTCTCGCCTGAGCACCGCGTGCAGTTGTCTGCAACGGTACAGCTTCCAGGATGAAACACAGTTCGTTTACACAAGGTAGCTCCCGCCTGGGCGCGGCGCACATGTTTTTTTGTCTTGCGTATTTCTACGAGCCTCAAGGATGGAGGGCGGTTCCTTTTCAGGATGGGCTCGGCCTTAGCGCCGCGCACATTCGCCGTACACGTTTGCATCAGCTTCAGGGATGAAGGGCGATTTCTTTTCAAAGTGGTGTTCTCGATTTAGCAACGCGCACGCGCGTGCTCAAGACCTGCACCAGTTACGCAGGTGGATGGTCGTTTCAAGTTCGAAATGAGGTTTTCGTTTGGGACGCATTTCAAGTAAGACGCCAGAGACATACGCAACAGTTGCGTGGGGCGAATCCTTTCAAAATTGGGCTCTCGCTTGAGACGTCGTTGACGCTCATGACCAGTAGTGTAGATTTGTGTAACAGTCGCACATTTGGGTACCCGTTCTTTTTCAAACGGGATCTCGTTTGAACCTTCGCTGAACTATGATCGTAGTCTGTCGTGTTTTCATGGTTCGACAGAGCGGTGCATGGTAGGTTCTTTTCAAAAAGGGGCTCGAGCCGGAAAGGCAAGTTCACTGTGTGTGGGTTGGATTTTCAAGAGGGCGTGGCTGTAGTGAAGGGGAAGGTTTGTATGGATTTTGGGCGGGAGGGAGTATTGCAGCATCGTTGGCACATCTTGGATTTACTCTGGTCGTCTTCCTTCTCCTCCTCCCCCTCATCGTCCGACTGGTGTTGGGCAGGCCCAGGACGGAGATGCATCGCTCCGTTATGGAGCGTTCTCAGGGCTTTGTGGAACGCCAAATCTGCCAGCATTCGGAGATGTCCGATGCCATCGTCATTTGGAGTTAGCTCGATCTTGCCTTCGTCTTAGCCTGTTCCGCCCCGGAATCAAGGAGGTGGTCGAATTCGTCGATTTCCTGAAGGAGCCCGCGAAGTACGAGAAGTTGGGCGCTCGCGTGCCAAAGGGCGGCCTGCTAGTGGGCCCTCCAGGGACGGGGAAGACGCTGCTCGCGAAGGTGGCTTGTTACCCCTTCATCGCTTCTCCTCCTCCTCCTCCTCCTCCTCCTCCTCCTCCTCCTCCTCCTCCTCCTCCTCTTCCCGACCGTAGCCATTTTGGCTCAAGCCATTTTGGCTCAAGCCTTGCAGCCCGCGGCGCGGCGCCCGCGGCGGCCCATGGTCCCCCTATGTCCCCCTGCCGAGGCGGCGGGCGCGAGCCTGCGGCGCGGCGAGGCGCTGAGGCCGCCCGGCATCGCGTTCGCTGGCCGCCTGCGGCGCACGTACCAGCGTGGGGCGCGGCGGGGCAGCCGCGGTGCCACCACGACCCGTGGTTTGAGGGGGGGCCCAGGGTGGCCTGCTGAAGCCGCCGCAGCACACTGGCATGATGCGGGAAGGCGCCCCTGGAGACGGAGGGCGCCCCTCTTCTTCAGCGGAGAGGCGGCTGCGCAGGGGCCGTGCCCGCCAGGCGGCGGATTCGGCCATTGCCAGGCTGACCGCTGACAAGAGGCAGCTGCAGGAAGACCTGAACGCCAAGCGCAACGCCGACGAGATCGGCCACAAGTTCGCCGCGCTCATTCCCATGCTGGGGGAGCTGCTCGGCCTGCCCCTGGAGGCGCAGGCGGCACGCGACGGCGCGAGCCTCGGTGGCCCTGCGGCACCCGCAGGGCTGCGCGCCGATGCTGCGATGTTCGTGCCGCTCAACCACTTGGACATGCAGGGCGGCTGGCTGGGCGTGGAGGCGGAACCGAAGCGGAACCACGACGAGGAGCCGCGCTGGACCAGCGACGCGGACGCGGAGGCCGAGCAGGTCTCTGTGCTGCTGGCGGAGCTGGACCAGGGCGCGGGGCCGCACGCGGTCCCTGAGACGGCGGCTGCGGCGGCGGCGGGCGGCGGCGCGGATCGGGCCCCTACGGGGGATGACTGCCCTGCTGCTCGGGCCGCGCTGGGCAGCCATGCGGCGCCCCAGCCGCCTGCGCCTGCCCAGGCGCCAGGGGCCCTCTCCAACGGTGAGTCCCTCTGCGGAGGCGTGGACCCGTGCGACGGTGTGTCCCTCTGCGGAGGCGCGGACCCGTCGGGTGGTGAGCCCCATCCACGGAGGCGTAGGCCCGACGCAGAGGGCCCCTGGGGGCGCCAGCATCACTGTGGCTGACGAACCAGTCGATGTGGAACAGAAGCATGATGGCCGCGAGACGGCCGAGGTGACGCGGAGCGAGAACGCGGGATCCGTCACGGGCGAGGCCGACCCCAGCAGCCGCGAGACGCTGCTGGACGACGCCCTCGCCAACGCCAGCACCACGCTGGCGCTCTCCGTCGCGGAGCCTGCCGAGGAGGTGGTCGCGAACGACGGCGAGGAAAGGCTGACCGACAGGCGCGACAAGGTGCTGAGCGGCAACCTGGAAGGCGTGGCCGACGGCATGGGCGTGGACGACACTGCTGCGCAGGTGGCGGCTGCGCGCGCGCCGACTGCTGCTTTGCCTGGGCCCCAGGCTATCGTGTCGGTCGGCTACGTGACGGGCAAGGCGGGTCGCAGGGCTGCGCGCCAGAGGCGAAGGCGGCTGAAGGCGACCGCCAGTGCACCGGGGTGGATTGCAGGCTGGGTGACTGCCTGCGAGGTGGCAAGCGGCATGCTGATCGTGACGCTGGGGTGCCTCGCCGCTGCCCTGATCCCCACCCCCGACGACACCTACCAGCACATGCTCTACATGCCTGAGGGCACTGCGCAGCCCATCGACGCCAGCACCGTGCTGGATGGCTCCATGGTGGCACAAGCGGCGGTGCAGGAGTCCTACGTCCGCGACATCTTGTACGAGCTCGACCTGGACGGGGACGACGTCATCTCTGCAGCTGAGTGGCCAGGCGCGGGTGACGCGGGCACGGGCTACTCGAGCGAGGCGCAGCGGGGCTTCCTGTTCGCGGACCTCGACGGGGACGGCCTTGTCGACCTGGCGGAGCTTCGCGCTGCCGTGGCCGCTTTCAGTCGAGATCAGGACGCAGTATCGCCTGATACCAGCAGCCCGACGCCACTGAGAGGCGCTGGAGGCTGACGCCGGCTGCGTGGTCATCTGGACCCAGCCCGGGAGAAGATGCACGGGCTGCAGCAACGGCTCGGCACGGCGGCGCAGGCGGCCGCGGGCCGCGGGCGGGAGGCCCGCCGCGGCCAGCGCCAGCGCGCGAGCGGCCCGGAGACCCGCGCGCCGCGCTCGAGCGTCAGACGCGCTCGCGGTCATGTGGGGGGGCGCCACGGGCGCCCCCCCCACTTCAAAAGACGTCCCAAAGACGTCCTCCTCCTCTTCATCCTCGTTCCTCCTTTTCCTCCTCCTCCTGTTCGCTCCTCCTATTCCTTTTCGCTCCTCCTCCTTGCTCCTGCTCCTTCTCCTCCTTCTCTTCGCTCCTCCTCCTTCTCCTCCTCCTCCTCCTTCCCCCTTCCCTCCTCCTCGCTCCCTCTCCTCCTCCGCCTCCTGATCCTATGTCCCTCTCTCTTTCTCTCTCTCTCTCTCGTTCTCTCCCTCTCTATCTCTCTCTCTCTCTCTCTCTCTCTCTCCCCCTCTCTCCATCTCCCCCTCCCTCCCACGCTCTCTCTCTCTCTCTCTCTCGTTCTGCCTCTCTCTCTCTCTCTTTCTCCCTCTCTCCAATGATCGTTCATTATTTGTCTATTTACCTCCATCTCTCCCTCTCTCTCTCTCTCTCTCTTCCTCTCTCTCTCTCTCTTCCTCTCTCTATCTTTCCCTCTCTCTCTCTCTCCCCCTCTCTCTCTCGCACTCTCTCTCTCGCTCTCTCTCTCTCTCTCTTTCTCCCTCTCTCTCTATATATCTCCCTCTCTGTATTCACATATACATATACGACCACACTTCGGGTGCGGTTTGCGGTTGGGGTCGAATCGGATTTAGCGTACACCAGCTTGGCACAACGGAGCATTCGATTGGTTATCTCTCTCTCTCTCTCTATTTCTTTCCGTCTCTGTATATACTTTTCAAAGTCACGACCGATCTCCCTCCAGAAATCGATATTTCTATCTGTCGATCTCACAGTCGATCTCCCCATTGATCTCATTATCGATTTGTCGAGTAACTGCACGATCGATCTCACGACTGACCTCATAACCGACCTCACGGAGCACCACGGGACACCGCGCCACGGGGCACCATCGGATGCCATTGGACACCATGGGACGCCGCGCTACGAGGAGTCTCCGCTTCACTTCGAGCTCACCCCCCAGCCAATTTCCGATCTATGATCCAGGGCCCCCCCCCAATGCATATGGGATCGAGCCCCCCCCCCTCCCTGTGATCGTGGCCCTGTGGGCGTGGCGTGGTGGTGGGTGCCAGTACCGCCCCCTGTCGGTGTGGGTTGGTTCGTCGTCGGCGTCGTCGCCGTCGCCGTCGCCGTCGCGGTCGTTGTCGTCGTCGTCGTCGCCACCGTCCCCTCCCGTCGTGGGGGGGGCTTTGGAGTTGTGGACCCCCCCAGCCGATTGAGGGGGGCGCTATGAACCCTCGACCCAGGACCATATGCAATATGTATGTATGTGTATGTGTGTGTATATATATATATATGCAAGGTTGCATTGGCGCTTCGCGCCATGCACCTTCGTCTTGGAAGTTCGGTATGCAGGCGGAAGTCGCGGCGGAAGAGCAGGAAGATGACACGGCAACAATAGCGATAACTTCTTCTGCCTAGTCCGACACCGTCGTCATAATAATGCCATTCGTTGTTCTTCCCTTATGCTTCCTTTTTCTCTTCCTCACTCTCGCCATCCCGTGCGAAGTCTTTCCCATTCTCCTCTGCTCTTTTTGCGGAGGTTCCTCCTTTAAGATATTATTGGAGCTTCACGAACGTTTTACATGTCTTCTCGGGGCCTTCTGGAGGCCTCCTGGGCGCCTTCTGTGGGCTTTTTCGAGTCACCATGCTTCTAGCTGCGGTCTACCTGAAAGACCGGGTTACGATTTGGCATGCTTTAGGGGGCGTCTTGGGGCCGTTTTGGGCCGTCATGGGGCTATATTCGTGCAATCTCGGGACCCTGTTGGGCCGTCTGGGGAGGTCTTTTGGACCGCCTGGAATCCCTTTCGGATCGTGTTGGCATGATTGTCGGGCCTCTTGGGCGGTCTCGGGCGCCTGGAAGACAGAACAACAGAGCAGTCCCGAAATCATGCAACGACCGTTGGAAATCAATGCTCTCCTGCATTTATATAGCCTCTTGGGGGTGATCTTTGGATCGTCTTCGGGCGTCTGGTGGGTGTTTGGGGCCTCTTTGGGCTCTCGGAGGGCTGTTCGGCCGCCCTCTTGACCGATTTGAGCTCGGTGCCTGGTCCCAGCAGGGGTTTCCAGAAGCTCCCAAAAGCCAGGGAAACCTTTTGCTGGGGCGTCCATGGGGCCCCCGGGGCCAGGGATCCCGAGGGTCCCGTTTAGAGGGGGTCGCAGGGTCACAGATGACAGAAATTTCAAAATAGAAATATGTAGACCTCTCTTCCAATCTTTCCTTCTCTCTCTGCCCCTTCATTTTTTCCCAACCATCCTGTGGTGTTGGGCCCTTGTTTTGAAGAAACGGTCCCCGCGTTCCTCTTCTCTCCTCTTCTCTCTTTCTCCCCCTCCTCCCGTCACCCCACTCACTTTGGCACGCCCCTCGCACGTTTCGTGGCCTCATAGGGAGCTCCACCGAGGGCCCCAGTTGCTGCGCTCGCAAGGCACCACCGCACCCATTCCAGCACACCCCTCAGACGTTTCGTTGCCCCGTAGGGAGTATCACCGAAGGCCCCAGTGGCTGCGCTCGCATGACATCACCGCACCTATTTCGGCACACCCCTCACACGTTTCGTGGCCCCACAGGGAGTGGCTGTGTTCGCATGACACCACCGCACCCATGTCGGCGCACCCGTCACACGTTTCGTGGCCCCACAGGGATCTCCACCGACGGCCCCAGTGGCTGCGCTCGCATGGCACCACCGCACCCATTCTGGCACACCATTCACACGTTTCGTGCCCCATAGGGAGTTCCACCGAAGACGACACCAACAATTGCGTGAGT